TGTGGGTGTGGGTATGGGGTGTGAGTGGGGGTGTGAGTGGGGGTGTGGATGGGTGGGTGGGTGCGGGTGTGGGTGTGGGGTGTGAGCGTGGGTGTGGGTGGGGTGTGGATGTGGGTGGGTGTGGGGTGTGAGTGTGGGTGTGTGGGTGGAGTGTGGATGTGGATGTGGGTGTGGGTGTGGGTGGGTGTGGGTGTCGCTGTGAGTTAAGACATGACACCCACACCCACACTCACACCCACACTCACACCCACACCCCCACCCCCACACCCACCCACACCCACCCACACCCACCCATCCACACGCACACCCATCCCACCCACCCACACCCACACGCACACCCACCCACACCCATCCCACCCATCCACACCCCAAAAATTCCTCAGCAAAATGACAAACTTATATGCTTGAAGTTCTCATGAAAGTGGAAATGCGTAGTGCCTAATTCATGAAATTTGAATTCTTCAAGTTAACGGGTTATGAATTAAATTCATAGCGAGAGAGATTGTCTTGCTTTGAAGAGTAAATGAACATAAAATCAAGCTGTAGAAATTAGTGTTTAATACTAATTACATATGCCTATTTTCTTTTTCGTTCTGTTCGTTTGCCCTGTCAATATATATAAAAAAAGAGACATCAAAGGAAAAAGAATCTATTCACACACAGAGAAGAAATGGGAGGAAAGAAAAAGAAGGCGCTACTTTCAACGTAAAATAGTGTCTCATTCTTTTCTCAAAAACTAAGAGTTGTCCAGAAAAGGGGTAGTATATTTGAAATCCTTATAAAATTTTGAATCGAATGATGTATGCTGTTTTCTTGTAAACCACCCCCAAGAAAATCGACTCGATTTGCTATGATGTAAACACTTTTATATGACATTGTCATCAAATCAACTTTAACAGCAGCTTTTCATTATACAATTCATGAGTAGAAAAGCTTATATATATATTAGTTTATCAATGATTAGAGCACAAAATAATAACTACATTTAGATTTGTTGTCATGATTCACGCTGAAAGGGGTTCGCCTTCTAAATCTTTTTTTTTTCGATTTAAGCCTAAACGATCGCACATCGGATATGTTTAACTTTGGTAAGACAATCTTGTCTAAACGATGCTCTAAGACGAATCAAACGATCTGATATCATGAAAAGGAAATTGAAGTTTGATTTTGCAAGAAAGAGATTTAATTTTATTACTTAATTATTTTAACATACCATTAGACATGTCAAATATTTCATTTTAGTCGTCTCCAACACGTCTCTTAAATGCAGTAGTAGAAACATTTTAAATATGTTTATGTTTTGTGAATATATTGACATTGAATAACACATGATTTTCTAAGATTCTTCTTGTCGAATATCGTTTCCTATTCGATCAATCTTTAAAACAATTCTTTAAGAAGAATTCGTCGTTTAATTCTTTTCTTTTTTTCTCCGAAGTTTTGTTGTTCCTTGACGAAATCGAATCTTTGTTTAATAGAAAAAAAAATTATAGAAAAGTTTTAATTTTATTTAATAAAATATCTTCATTTTGTGCTACGATTTTTCGACATTTTCTATACTGAACCAATCCATCAAGAAGATCATCTAATATTGTTCATATTCGTATAGATGATTGATATTTAAATTATTTTTTTTTTACTACAAAGATTATTTATCTAACTTACAAAGAGAATACTTTGTTTGAAGAGGGCCAGCAAAAAATACAGTCATTTGGCAAGTTTCTTTTAATAACTATTCGGAATTACTTAAGGAAAAGGAATAAGCATAATTTATATCCTCTCGACATAGTTTTACGGAATAGGAAAAAACTCTGATCAAATTGATTAAGTCAATGATAGAAAATATTTTTTCTTCTTTCAAATATCCTTGGTGTCTACTTATTTGAACTATATCACAAACATAGACTTTTAACATAACATTAAGTGAACAAATGAAAAATATTGTCTTCTTAATTTTTGATCTTTGTTCCAACAATGATATACAAAGATAGTTTCAAAATTTCTAAACTATTCTCCATTCTTTTTTTCAGACACAGATATACACACACATCAGGCTCGTCTGTTTACTTTTTATTCACATTTCCAGAACCATAATTGCTCGAATAAGCGGTTACGACCTTTAACCTTCACCCTCGTGACCTTGATTCTGTTTTTTGCTATTAGCTAATAGAAAAGTTCATGATTCAATACTCCAGAGAAAAAGCAATAGATAGTACATATAGTATTCGTCATCGACTGTTCATCGTTTCAGGTCGCCGAATGAATATAAAATGAGATGCGCTTCTTTCCGTTCTTGTGAGCACAAATATTTTCGTAGCATAGTTATATTTGATTTCTAAAACATGGAACAAAGTATTGATTATTGTCCAACAAAACGACTCAGAACAACTTACGAACAAAGTAAGATTTTTTCTTGGCTTATCTAAGTAACAATATGTCATCTGAATTTATACAATACAGATTCTTGTTCCACACTTGAATGTCTCTCGACCGAGCTGATTCTCAGTATTTTCGAATATTTCAATATACAAGAAATTGTTCAATCTTTCTCCAATCTTAATTCATTCATCACATCATGTATATTCAATCCACGTCAACAGCTACATCTGCATATTGATCGTGAAATGCCTTTTCTTCCGGGCAGCTATCCTTCCAATCAAGTTACATCACTCCGCATTGAACATTCTATTATTCCAATTGATTGATTTCTTAATCTTAAATCACTTACCATCGTCTATGGAAATGAGCTCGAAGACCAATGTGTTAATATGGTCAATGAGGTCAGACAAAATTTTAATACATAGTGCTGAGAATTAAGAATTCACATGGA